CTGTAGGATGAGGCATGCTGCCAGGTATGGGATGAGTTTGACCGCCTTTTCCTGCTGCATGGATAAACCCAGGTGGGACATCATGCATGGAAATCTGTAACTGTTGATGGTTACATGAGAAGATCCAACTGGTGTTCCTCTGAATTCAGGTTAGGAGGCTGCTCTTCTTCACTGGACACACAAGTTCAGCTGCAGTTCATGTCTGCATTCGAAGGCCACTCCAGCAGCAGACCAAGATATTTTGCCAACTTCTTTACCTGATTTTCAGGTGAACTGGCAGGTTTAGTACTCTGCTTACAAGGCTGTACTGCCTATTTAATTAACCCCTGATACCTGGGAGTAATAGCTGTTACAGTACGAGACTGGAACTTCAGCTTTTCCTAAATGGATTAGGGATTGCATCTGCAAAAGACTCAACCTTTTCTTCTATCAGTTAGGCCTCTCTCAGCTGGTGGCATGAAGTAATAGGGATGGAAACTGCCTCAGCTAGATAGTAAATCCATTTGCTTTAGGCCACCAGTATTCCTCTGGGACGTGCATACAAAGCACTTCTCTTTAAAAAAGAAAATAATAATCTAGTCTTTTCTACCTCTTAATACTCTATTGGGAATCCTCAGTAGAAGATATGTCTCTCTGAAAATATAAGCGCTTGAGAACAAGCAGAATTCCATGCTATTAGGAGCTACTCTGTGTGTAGTTGAAATCCCAGTCCATAGCTTCAGCTTCTACGTTTATGCAGAGACTTGGAATGAATGCCTATTAAAGGTGGGCAGAATTCCAGCCATCTTCAGAAAGCTAGGATCTGAGGCTGGTTTATTTGGGTTTTCTTTTTTGAAATTATATACACTTTTTATTTCCCATATAGTTTATTACCTTCTCTGTGCAGCCAAATCCTACCTCTAAGCAAATGCATTTCAAGTGTTTTTAAGCGCAGACAGTTTTGGTCTGACTCGGTCAAAAATAAGAGATCATTACAGTTGAATCAAAAAATGGGAGATGAAGGAGGTTTGTTATCTAGCGAAGTTTGGAAGATTCTCATAAACGGTTTTGGTGAAGGCATAAAGAGTGTTGGCAACTTGCAAATAAGCCTTGGAGTCTGTTTTTAATAAAGGTATAAAATGTAGTACCTTGGGCTTCTGCTTTTACCTCCTCCATGTGCAACAGCCTCAGCACACGTGTATCACCAGACAAGGCAAGTTTCTCTTTGTCTGAAGTGGAGTTTTGGGGATTATAAAACAAGATTTGGTCATTCAGGAGCACCCACCCTCCACCCATGGAGGAAAACATACTGTTAGTACCTAATTCCATCCTCTTGTCTGTCTTATAGTACCTCATAACTGGCTTCACTGGAACACAAGCCTATTCTGCTTCACGTGTCCAGAAGTCTCCACAGCTGAGTCTGTTCATGCCCCTCATTGTTCTGTGCCATACAACTATTCAGCTTTTCATACAATTATGTTCCTCTGCATAGCCTCTTCAGTGAATCTGACAGCTTTCCTAACTAGTCCCAAGTTTTGGGTCTGTGGGACAGAAGATGAGGCAGAAAGCAAATCTGAAATACACCAACATCAGCTACTGATGCTGCTGCCCACAATGATCACCCCAGTGTGGGCACGCTATTATGGACAGAGCTGCAGGTGAGCTGATGAACCCCTAGTTCATCCAGGAATTCAGCTGGTTAAAGGACAATATGGCAAACAGACAAGTTGGAATTTGTCTTTCTGCTCTCTGGATGCACAGGATCTGCTAGGCTGGAAGCTCCTGCCTTCCCGACTTCTCCACCAAGCACCAAACCTTCCTGAAGAGGTCTGACTTTCCACGCTGTGGAGCACTAAACCTTGACCCCTGCAGAGCTTGTCCTTCCAAGTTTTTCACATTGACTTCAGCCTGTGAAAGAGTAGGGGAATTCACGGCGTACAAACTACCCACAGGTAGAGGATACACTCCGCTTTTCTGTGGAGAATGCAAATGGTGGGGGAGGAAAAGACAATCACACTAGATTTCATGTAAATAGTTTAATTATATTTCAATGCTTAAAACACAGAAACACTTGAATTAAATTACATCATAATGCTTCTGCAAAATTGTACATATACTTCCAAGAACTGTGAGAGGAGGTGCTATTGAACTAAAAGAATACTCCAGTACAAGCCCAGCAAATGCCCATAATACTCTTTTAGTCGTCTTATCTGTACTTCTTTAATTTAAGGGCAGCCATCACAGGATGAAGCCTACCATTACAGGAAGAATGGTTAAAGAGAATTCCTCTGTAGGTGTGTTTGTTATACAAGATCTATCTCAGCATTAATGTGGAAGAAGGTGCCTGTTTTTGCACCTGAGCTGGCAGATGCACTGCTTGGCAGCTGCCTGTGCAGCACATCGAGCTGGGTAAAGAGCACACAGTAGGCTGTTGGTCTGAGGACACAGCTCAGCTTACACTTGCCTTTTATCAGGTTTAAAACAACAAATGAAATTCCAGTCGTAAGCATTCTAGGGGAAATGCGATTTAGGCCAGCCGTGCATCCCTGCTGCTGCTTCCATCCCTGTCCTGCCGCAGAGCATGGGAATGTGATGGGCAGCGACGTGCCAGCTGCTGAACGGAGAAACCCGATGTCTCTGTGGCTGGGTGCCATCAGTGAGCACTTGGAGAAGATGGTAAGTGTGCATTTGGGGGATGGGTGTGATGTATTTGCTGCTCCACTGGTCACACAGGCATAACCTCTGGGAAGACCCACAGATAGCATCCAAATTCTAAGGACCTAAGCCAGATCACACTGAGTATTTGTATGCACACACCTTCCTTCCAAGAGTATCCCTGGAGTGCAAACACCAGCAGCCTGGGAGTGCCTCCTGCCAGATCTCCTGGGTGTGGAGGATGGGCTGTTTTCCACAGGTGATGACACTCCTAGCCCTAATACACTCTCAGAACTCCCTGGTTTTAAAGAGTAATACTGAAAAATTAAAGCAACTTAGCCCTGCAAAACTGCCATGAGGGAAAGCTGTGTCAGTGAAGGAGGGAGGGCTGGCAAGGAACTGTGCACTGTGGGGGTCAGTGGTACATGCTCAGGAAAGAGGCTGAAAAAAAAAAAAAAAATCACAGTGGGGAAGGAGAAAAAAAAAAATTGGGAGGACAAAAACTAACTAGCAGGTCCAATGTAGCAACAAAGCACATGTTACCTGAATTGCCCCTCAATGAAACATCTCCTTGCATAAAGCCTACCTGTAGATCTGCGTTCAGATTTTGGCTTGCCCCGATTCCCTTTTGACTGGTGCTGTAGATAGAACATGATCTGACTGATAAATCATGTACTGCAGAAAAATGAGGTGGTGATCAGTGCACAGGCTGGACACTGATGCTTGCATGCAGGCTCTGCTGCTGTGCTGGCCTGCAGCACTCGGGGCTGGTGGCCACCAAAATGCTCTGCAGAGGACAGCCCCCATGCTGCACTGCAGCATGCCAAGGTGGCCAGAGACCCCTTCACACTCTCTCCCTCCTGCAGCCCTGAAGGACAGAGAGATGCTTCAGGGTTACAGGAGAACTCTTGGCTTACCTGTCTGGTCCCACCTTCTGCATTAGCAGGTAACATGAGCAGAGGCTAACACAAAGCTCCGTGTTT